TGGCTGATTGACCACACCAGGCTAGAACAACAGGGGCGCACACTGCCTTGGTGCAAAACTGCATACGTACCTTCCCTCCACATAAGAGATCTGAGACGGTGGAACACATCTTCATGCAGTGCCCCTCAGCAGCACTGCTATGGCGATGGTGGGACAGGATCTGGCGGCAGATGTTCCCTGAATCACCATGGCCATGGGATTGGAGGGCGATCCTGTTGGGACATCGCCCAAACATTTCAGGGAACGCATGTGAATAAAATCCCTTCCGCCTGGGCAGACGATCCATCCTATAGGTTATCTGGTGGAAGAGGTGTGTCCTGGAAATGGAAGGAGCCCGAGTGGAGGAAGGAGAGGTAATGGAACAGCTCAAACAACTGGTGCAGTCAGAGATCATAGCCTGTTGGCAGACTGCACGAGAAAAATTGGACACAGTCTATTTCAGGAGAGATGCCAATCGGATCATCTCCCGGTTCTGCGAGGAGTGGCTTGGAGGGAAGAGAGGCGGGTGGATAGCAAGGGTGATGTGGTCTGAAGACGAGCACAGAGAGGAAGAGGAAGAGGTTCTCCAGAGGGATATGACACGGGACTACAAGCTGCAATTTTACAATTTCACGATTGGACGACCATTGGCCCCAGTTTTCCCCTCAGACCCGCGAAGGATTTCGGAGACCCTTTTCCCCCCCACCTGTTGTCTTTAACAGAGATCATGCAGGAGGGGGAGTAGCGCCATTTCATTTCATCTTACAATATCCTCAGACAAGTCAGGAGGGACGCGGAGCCCGGTTCTCAACATTGATAGAGTAAGCTAGCATGCAGTACAGTTACGCAGGCCGGGGAGCAGACAGGGACCGCTGGTGTCCCCCTGAGGCCTAAGTAGGCAGGATAGACAGTGATGGGACGCCGGGCCCGGTTTCCAGCACGTGTTCCCTCCCAACTTATCTTATGTTTTTTTTCCAAAAAGGGACTTTGGAAACGGTTTCCAGCAATTTTTGCATAGGTAGCGTAAACGAGCAGATAGCACAGCTAGTGCAATTGGAAGGCGGGTCAGGGAGCAGGCAGGGACCTCTGGTGTCCCCCAGAGGCCCCTGTCTGAGCCCTGGCCTTGGGCCCCAATTTTAGGCATGAAGGATAGACAGTGATGGGACGCTGGACCCGGTTTCCAGCACTTGTGTTCTCTCCCAACTTATCTCTTGTTTTTTTCAACAGGGACGCTGGACCCGGTTTCCAGCAGGTGATGCTCCCCACCAAAAGACGGTGCGTTTTCTAACAAAAAAAAAAAAAAAAAAAAAAAAAAAGACCAACTCAAGGCCTTGTCCTTCAAGATTATCATCCGCCTGCTGATGGGAAACAACATTCTGTGGGCCCCATACGCTGAGTTACAATTATCCAATCTGCCCCCCCCATCGCCTGCAGACAGCCCCGTGCATGCTCTCCAATGGTTCACTAATCCCTCTTGGTCGGTTCCGGGCGCAGCCGACACACCGCTCCTACAGACACCACAGGCCCAAACTAGAAGAGACATAGCCAACGACCCCCTTTGGCCAAACATGATAAAATTATGGAGGGAGACGGGACCCAGATCGGCTCCCTCCACCCCTGCGTTGGCACGAGGTCATAAGACCACCACTGTTTGGCCACCCCTCCATATGTGACGAGGAGGGGAGACCTTTTGCCCTCCATAACAATTCCTGTTGGAGGGCATGCCAGTGGGTAGCTAAGGGGGTATTCTTCGTGGGAGATATATGGGACTCAAAACAAAACACTTGCAAGACGGACGCCCAAATGAAGGATCAACTGAAACACGTGAGGGACGGACCTGGAAAGCTGCGTCAACTACAGAAAGTGATCCCCCTTGCTTGGGTGCAACAGTCGAAGCAACGACCTAGTACCATCAAACAGGGGGATTGGGTGGTCCATTGGAAGCAACAATGCTTACCAACGGCCGTGAACCGAGTGGCCAATGTAACAGGATAAACAATACACCTGGAAGTGTATAATATACTCCACCCCGGGACCACATTGTCGTGTCTCGAGAAGAATGAACCGGCTGACCATGACTGCACCTGGACGGACCTGGTAGAAGTGAGGGTGACCGAACAGACGGACGGAGCACCCTGTGCCTGCCAACCGGCCCTCCCGCTGGCCACCCTACAATTCGACCCTCAGGAATGGGAATGGATGCAACCAAGCCCGGCCAAACCGCTCAACCTTGGCAATGCACGGTTAAACAAGGCTACCGCAGACTGCACAAGTCCTGCCCGACAGAGGGACTGATCAAACGGCGATGGGAGAAAAACTCCATCCTCCCACCGGACGACCTCCGAGACTTCAGCTGGTCAAACTATTCTCATATAATGCCAACTGCACACAGGGCTCTCCAGTGGCAGATCCTGTACCGCTGCCTGCCCACCCCCGACCGGTTAGTCATGCGGCCTGACCTTGAACAGCAGGGTCGCCTCTCCCCCATCTTCCGGTATTGCGGCAGATGCTCCCAACCGGCCCAGGCCACTCTGGAACACTGCCTCCTGGGTTGCCAAATGGTCTCCCAGATATGGAGGTGGTGGGATGCAACATGGACTGCCCTGACAGGATCCCAGTACCTGTGGCAGCCCAGACTCCAGCTGTTGGGGGACCAAGCGGACATTCCTTCCAAGTGGTCCCCCTATGAGAGGAACCTCTTCCACATTACAAGACTGGAACTGCTGATGATTGCCTGGCGAGCCCGCTGCTCATTTGATCGAAATCAGCACACGTTCGGCTTTCCACAGGCCAAAGAACACATAGCGCACTGTCTAACGGCCAGAGCCAAGGCCGCATGGGTTCAACTCAGGCAGCAAATACACACCATAGAAAAGAACCCAGTCTTCACCCCACAGGTCAAGCAACAGAAGATAGAGGAAGCAAAAACTTGCTTCGCAGACGAATGGTTGGGAGCGAGGAGAGCAATCGCGGAGGTGGACAACTCACAACTCACATGGCACAACTGGAGGAGGGACGAGCATACTTGGTCCTTCAAACCTTTATCCAGCTTCTCTATCCCCTGCGCGGCTACTCCCCCCTCCGTCATCCTCCCGGTCTAGCTTCCCCCCTCCCCCACCCCCCCTCTCTCTCCTCCACACGAGAGCTATAAGCCAAGAGAACCTCGGAGAGCACCACGAGCTGGCAGGGACACCAACGACAAGAAATGCCCCAAGGACTCTATCCTGCCCGATCCAACGCATGGACACAAGGAGGACAGTCGAGGAAGGAAGGGATCTATCACATACAGAGCCTTCAACGACACCTGGGAAGATGACGAGCGCAGGCTGGAGCAAAGGCAGACAGAGAGAGCCAAGAGGCGGGAGATATTGACTGGAGGGAATAGCCAAACAATGCCACAGGGCAAAAGAGTGGTATGGAGCAGGACTGGGAAGAGACAGCGAAGGAACAGACGGAAACAGATACTTTCACAAGGGACAAGGACAGACAACAACTTTGGGAATAAGGGCAGGACAAGGGCGGAGCAATCTCCACAGCCCAACAGAGAATGGAAGGCTTTAGGGAGGGTTTAGGGTTCTGAGAGACAGATATGGCAAGCAATCATGGGGGCTGTGGAAACCTGGAACTGACCAGCCCAAATAGTCTTAAGGGTGTTCACCGACAGATGCAAGTGACAACTAGCAGCTCGAAGAAGAAGAAGAAGAAGAAGAAGAAGAAGAAGAAGCAGCAGCAGCAGCAGCAGCAGCAGCAGCAGAAGAAGAAGAAGAAGAAGAAGAAGAAGAAGAAGAAAGAAGAGAAGGAAGAATAAGGAAGAGGAGGAAGAGGAAGAGGAAGAAGAAGAAGAAGAAGAGGAGGAGGAGGAGGAAGAAAAAGAGGAAGAGGCTGTCTCTTATACACATCTAGATGTGTATAAGAGACAGGCATAGGCCAACGCCCACGTTTGCTCGTGGCGTG